AATGGGACGCTGCGGCGACGAAAGGGCCGTCCGGGTCGCCGCGCGGGGCGGTGCCACGCGGACTCCCGCTCCTCCGCGGCCGGGCGGGGCTGCAGGGACCGACGTCCTGCTGCGGGGGTTTGCCCGCCGCTGTCGCGGAGTGACTGCGTCATCAGAGCCGAAACCCCCGTCGCATCCCGCTCGGACTTGGGGCGTACCTGCCGGGCCCGCGTAGCGCTGCGGAGGGCGAGGTAGAGGTTGGCGGGCGCAGAGGTAACCGTATCCGTGATCTCAGCCAGTCACCCTTCTTGACCTCACCGCCTTGGGCGGACCGGGAGCTGGGGAGTCGAGGGGAAGGGTCGTGGGTGCCCGGGCGTGGTTCTGTTTGGCGCGCCGGGGCCTTGTCTTTCAAGGCCGGAGCCTGGCCGTCAGAGGCTCGCTCAGCCCTGCGCCCTAGTCCCCGTTCTCCAGGCCGCCTCTGTAGAAGGCGAACTTTCCCCCACTCAGGATCTCATGGAGCCGAGAGGGATCAAGAGAGGCGCTGGGAAGACAGAAGTAGCTGAACCTCGGAACAAACTCCCCTGCCCAGCACCCTCGCTGCCCACAGATCCGGCCCTCTACTCTGGGCCCTTTCCTTTTTACCGGCGCCCATCCCAAATGGGCTGCTTCTCCCTGGACGCCCAACGCCAGTACCATGGAGATGCCCAAGCCTTGCGCTACTACAGCCCACCCCCCACCAACGGTCAGGGCCCCAACTTTGACCTCAGAGACGGATACCCCGATCGATACCAGCCCCGGGACGAGGAGGTCCGGGAGGGCCTGGACCATCTGCTGCGGTGGCTCCTGGAGCACCGAGGACAGCTGGAGGGGTGAGCAGAGAAGAGCACACAAGTAGATGGAGAGACCTGTACCTGCTCCTAAAATTAAGGACGCCAAAGCTAGAGGGCATTCATTCCTTAGGAGGAACTTGGGCTATTCTTTAGGAGAGCCATCTGAGCTAATGCTTGTGTCAGACCTTCAGCTTCTAACTCCTCTTTCTCAGGGGTCCAGGCTGGCTGGCAGGGGCCATAGTGACGTGGCGGGGGCACCTGACAAAACTGCTGACAACACCGTATGAGCGGCAGGAGGGCTGGCAGCTGGCGGCCACCAGGTTCCAGGGGACACTGTACCTGAGTGAGGTAGAGACACCGGCTGCTCGGGCTCAAAGACTTGCCCAGCCACCCCTCCTCCGGGAGCTTAAGTACATGGGGTACAAGTTTGAGCAGTACATGTGTGCAGGTGAGAGCTGCCCCTGCTCTGTAGCTTCCTCCCCTTTCCCCAGAGACAGAGCAGCCACCCCTGTTGCTGCTTCTCTCCTATACAGACAAACCTGGAGGCTCCCCAGATCCCTCTGGGGAAGTCAACACCAACGTGGCCTTCTGCTCTGTGCTACGCAGCCGCCTGGGAAACCACCCTCTGCTCTTCTCAGGAGAAGTAGACTGCACAGACCCCCAGGCCCCATCCCCACAGCCCCCCACCTGCTATGTGGAGCTCAAGACCTCCAAGGAGATGCACAGCCCTGGCCAATGGAGGAGCTTCTACAGGTTCAGGAGGGGGGTGGGCAGAATGAGAGCTTAGAACTGACAGCTGGGAAAGGAACTTGGGGGAAGAGGAGGCGGCGTTCCACTGATGGCTCATCTTTCCTTACAGACACAAGCTCCTGAAATGGTGGGCTCAGTCATTCCTCCTGGGGGTCCCAAATGTTGTTGCTGGCTTCCGTAACCCGGAGGGCTTCGTCTGTTCCCTCAAGACCTTTCCCACCATGCAGATGTTTGAACACGTCAGGGTAAGGCAGTCCCAGCACCCACCTGTACCCCCATGCCAAGACCCCAGGTCCCGTGTCCAGGGCTGTGTGTCCCCTCTCCCACTCCTGTCCTCACTTGTCTCTGCCTTCTCCTCGGCCCTCCCCAGAATGACCGTGATGGCTGGAACCCTTCCGTGTGCATGAACTTCTGTGCCGCTTTCCTTAGCTTCACCCAAAACACAGTTGTCCAGGATGACCCCAGGTGAGGCATTCAGCTCTGTCCCTCCCCTCTGGGTCCCAGAGGCCGAGCCTCCAGCTAGTGACTCCATCTTCCCCTCAGACTCGTCCACCTCTTCTCCTGGGAGCCTGGTGGCCCAGTCACTGTGTCTGTACATCGAGATGCGCCCCATGCCTTCCTGCCCACATGGTACGTGGAAGCCATGACTCAGGAGCTCCCATCGCCCCCCAAGACACCATCCCCTAAGGACTAATACTTCAGGAGGGCTGGTCCTGTCTTTGTGCAGTTAAAGGCATCTTTCTAGGTGGTTCTCCTGCTGTGTCTTTGAGCTGAGTTACCCTGCCCAGCACCTCAAGTACACACAGGTGGTTTGCTGTTTTATTATTACTTTTCACATGGAGGTCACTCACTGAGTGTACAGGCTAGCTGCAAAGACTATGTCCCTCCGCAGCAGGGTAGCTGCTGTCTCCATCTTAGCACCTAGCACAGGCTCGCCTACCAGGCGGGCCGCCCCTCGCAATGAGCGACACATTTCGGCCAGGCGCTGGATGCAGCGGACCACCAGGCCCTCGGGGGTCCCAGAGAGCCCTGCCAACTCGGAGAAGGGCTGTGGGGGAAGCAGGATGGGGATGAGTTTGAGAGACGTGGGCAGCCTCTCCCCAACCAGCCGTGCACAAAACCCCAAACCCCAGTAACTCACCATGCCCTGGGCCCACTCGTACACAACTCCGACCAGCCCGAAATTCAGCTCCCCTACAAATTCCTCCACTGTCTGGTTCAGGCCACAAGCCACCTGGACCTCACCAATCCGCTTGGCCACAGCACGGACACGGTCCACTCCCTGCAGATGGGGAAGGACATGTTAAGACCCACCTTCCTGCTCTAGGACGAGGGAGGCTCAGATCAAGGAAGAAGCCGTTCCAGCTCTTAGGGGCACTCACAGAGCTGGCAAGGTTACTTGGGGAAACCTGGGGGTGGGGCCTGGGAATGCTGCAGCCAGGAGAGGGAGAGAGGGGTGGGGGCCCAGTACCTGTTTGAGGGTACTTGGGAGCTGCTCCCCAGTGTCCCCGGGGCTCTGGCAGACCAGGCCAGAGAGCAGAGCCGCAATCTCCTCTGGCCGAAGGGCACTCAGAGCGTTGTCGAACATGAGCTCAGTGAGGAGCAGCTCGTGGCTGCTCATAGCACAAGCCACCCGCCCCGCCAGCTTCACTGTGCCTGCCTCGTCTACATAACCCAGAGTTCGGAGCACCTGGACGGAAGATGGTGGGTGTTGGGAGCCTGCTGTCCTCCCTTACTAGCCCTCCCCCTCCACCCCCACCGCTTTCACCTCTACTCGCTGGTGGTACTCAGGGAGCAGCAGTAATGACTGGTCTGATAGCAGGAAGCGCAGCCGCTCCATTTCCTTCTGTACCTGCATTCGTTCCCGCAGCTTCAGGTACTGTGGAGAGCCATGGGCAAGAGCAGCTTAGCCCTTCCCTTGCCTCCCACCAGGGCCTGAGGACCAAGGCTGAAATGGGGGTGGGCAGCCTACAGGGGACCAGAGAGAAAGAGCTTAGAAGCTGGTATCCAGGGCCCTACCTGGGCAGGGAAACGGGGGCTGTGCACACATTGAGCCCCCCGAATCAGCTCCTCTAGCTTCCGGGCCCGGAGTCCCCCCTCAACCACTGACACATCCTTGAGCTGCAAGTCGTTGACAGGGTCAAGGGTAGGGGGTCCTGCTGGGTGGGCCTGAGCCAGGCGCAGCAATTCCTGGACAACAGTGGTCACAGCAGCACTGGGAGGATCCTTCCTGAGGAAGGAGCAAGTCCTGAGACTTCTCTTCCATAAAAGCACCCCTCAAGCTGGGGGAGCCTCCCAACCACACACCCCCAACTCTCCATTACATGGTCCCTCCCCAGGAAAAGGGGCCTCCCCAGCATCTCTGACTTGAATTTCAGTTGCTGCCTCTTGCTGAAATCCTCCAAGATCTTCTCCCCATTCACCCGGAACACTTTGGTGGTGATGGCAGCCACGTCTCTGGGCTGGAGCTTGGCCACAGTGTGGTCACAGGGCCCTGAGGAAAGGGAAGAGCAGAGTCAGACCTCACCCTGAACCCAGGTGCCCTGCCTCCACTGCTGTTAGGAACCTAGACATCTGCCCCACTCGCACCTTCAGGCAGGAACAGCTTGAATCCCACAAGGTCATCTGGGTAGGGCACACCTGGGGAGGCCGAACCCCTCTCCTGTGGGTCCTCAGACATGGGTTTATCACACAAGACCAGAGTTGTGAATACTCTGCTGGTAGAGTTTGAGGAGACCTAGGGGAGGTGGGGAGGCCAGCACAGGGCAATGTGAGGAATGGACAACAAAGGCAGGGATTATGGAGCAGCCACGCAGAACCCATTCGAATAGACAAGTAATCAGCAGAGGGGGGTGGGGTGTGGAGGAGGGCAGAGGACAGGGAGGTGAGCACAAGTGGTGGTGATGGGAAGGAAAGGAAGGCAAGAGGGGAACTGGCACTGCTGAGTATAACCTGCCCCTCCCTCCCTCTGGGGCCCAGACTCCCCTCGGGTCACCTGCAGGATCACACCCAGTGCATTATGATGCTCCCGACTCTGCACGACCACCACCCTTCCGGCTGAGAGAGACTTCAGCCCATTCACAGACTCTATGACACGTTGCTGAAGAGGGGAGATGCGCAAAGGGGTAAGGAAGGAAGTGTCTGGGTTGCTGGGGCAGTTCAGGAGCACCCAGACTCACCTGTCTTTCTCCTCATCACCCCAACACAATACACTTCTCACCTGGATCAGGCTCCGGGTCTCTGTCAGTTCCTCTCCCCAGCTGTAATACTCGGGCAGGTCCACCAGTTGGCCAGTCAGGTCAGGCTCCTCCAAGGTCACCAGCTTCTTGGTTAATTCGTCCAGAGCCTGTTCATGGGCCTGGCCAGAAGCAAGGGGAAGGTATGAAATGAGTCTCCAGGCTCAGTCTGCCACATCCCCACCTGCCCCTACATGCCCACCTCTTCCCAGCCTGCTTCCCTTATCCAAGATCCAGCCTGATATACTGGTCACCCTAACCCCTCACCTTGCTGTCCTTGCGGGATGGAAACTCAGAGAAGCTCCTCTTCATCATGTCCTCCACCCTGAGGGCGTCCACCCGCAGCAGGTTGAGGATCATGGTGTATGTGAGGCGGAACTGAGACTGCAGCTGCGATGGCTTACCCTGGGGAGGAGCGGGGGGACTAGGTGGGCCTGCTGCTCCCCAGCCAGCCCTCTGCTGACTGGCTACCCACAGCAGAGCCAGTCCCAGGTCTGCAACCGTGGGGCCCAGACACGCTGCCTACTCACCTCTGCAAAATAAGGGAGCGAAACTAAGTAATAGATCCTACTGGCTCCCTATGCACAGGGGGAAAGACTAGAGATGAGACCCGTTCTCACCCTTGGACCTGCTCACTCCTACCTTGGCTTCTCCCAGGCAAAAGAAAAAAAGGGGAAGAGGGTTGGAAGAGAATCCAGCGGATGGCGGGGGCCGTCTGGCTCGCCTCATGCTGCTCGCTCACCGTCACCATGCGGTGCAGGTCCACCATCTCAGGCACGCGGCCCTTGCAGAGCAGGATGACGGTGCCTGTGGGGTCCAGGCCCCTCCGGCCTGCCCGGCCCGCCATCTGCACGTACTCCCCAGGGAGCAGGTCCCGGAAGGTGGAGCCATCATGCTTTCGCATGGAGTCAAACACCACTGTTCGGGCAGGCATGTTCACACCCATGGCAAAGGTCTCTGTGGCAAACAAGACCTGGGATGTGGGGAAGAGAAGATCAGCAAAGGGGCTCCACACAGCTGCCCACTGCACCTCACTTTGCAGCAAGGTTCCGTGGGTACCTGGCACGTCAAGTCGAGGTGGCCCACTCCCAGGAGCCCATTTAACTCTCCAGGCAAACCTATAGAGGGGACTATCACTTTCCTCATTTTATTTACTTAGTTACCTACTTATTTCTGTGCACCACCATGACCACCCCGCACCTCAGTCACACCGTGTCTCAATGAACACCTTTCTGTGTAACGTGTTCCCGCACGTTGTCTTGTGTGCATGTAATCTGCAATCTACGTGAAAGCAGCTACATCTCGTCTCCCTACGCCTTTTCCTCCCGTGTTTCTGGCACCATCCATGCTCCTCTACTTATGCTTAATCCCTTGCTTCCAGCTGCGTAGGACACTGTGGGGTGCATGCCCTACAGTTACCTACCTGCTCTCCCAGGGACCACCACCACCACCCTGCCAGACTACAGCCAACAGGGAGAACTGGCATATTGCCTCACAGACCAGGGTGAGGACTGTGTGGTTTATACTCAGGAATGGAATTGAGGGGCAGAGTATGTTACACTTATTCTTGTCTAAAGAATGCCAGGGTACACTCCAGGCTGGCCACCCTGTATAAAGGTTCCTATAATCCTACGCAGACAGACCTCGCTTTACTGCGATTCGCAGACACTGCATTTTCACCACATGGAGGCAAGACCCTCCAGCAGCAAAAAGATCGTGCCTCACTGAAGCTCAGAGGATGGTGAGCATTTCTTCACAGTATTCTTTAAAGTACATATGTTGTTTTTAGACATAACAATACTGTACACTTAATAAAGTACAGTATAGTGTGAACATAACTTTCACATGTACTGAAAAACCAAAACTCCGTGACCCACTTTAATGCAATGTTTATGTGGTGGACTGGGACGGAGCCTGCAATGTGTCCACGGTCTACACTGTAGTTGCCTATGACTTTGGCAACATTTGGCATTAGCCACTTTCCTAGGTTTTACCAGTCTAATCACTAAAGTCTTACGAGTATTTCAAATTGCGTTTTTCTGGTGACAACTAATATGCTTGCTAGCTTTTTGGGTTTCTCTTCTGAATACATCCCCATTTTAAGATGAGAAACCTAAAGTTGAGGGAGATAAGAATCTGCAGAAGGTCGTGCAGTGAGGAGGCGGTGGGTGGCGTGTGCACCTTGACCAGACCGCGGCTGAAGAGCATCTCCACGATCTCCTTGAGGATGGGCAGGATGCCACTGTGGTGCACGCCCAGGCCTCGGTGCAGGAGCTCTGACATGTGCAGGACCTGCCGAGGGTTGAGGCCCGTGGTCAGGGTGGGGCGGAGGAGCACCCATCCCCATCAGTCTCCAAGTCCCCCCTCCACACCTGCGGCAGCTGGCGGTCAGAGCCGCGGAGGCGAGCAAGGCAGCGCTGCAGAAAAAGGTGAATCTCACTCTTCTCTGAACTCGTGGTGAGGTCCAGGGAGGTGAGGCCTGAAGCCTGCTCGTCACAGCGGCCCCGGGAGAAGGTGAACACCACCACGGGCAGCTGTGCACGGGTGCGGAGGGAGGCCAGGAGGGACAGGTACACACCACGGTCCTGGGGAAGGGGGTGCAAAGGCACAGGGATGCAGTCACCAGTAGGCAGGTAAAGAAGTGTCAGGTCTGGCAGCTCTCACAGCTGGGGGCCAAGGGAAGAAACAGGTGAAAGGTACAAAGCCTGTTGGTTCTCACCTGTGCGGGTCCCCCCTGATGCGTGGGCTGCTTGGCCCCAAAGGTCTGGGCGTGTTTGCTCATCCTGTCCTTCTTAGCCTCCACAGCCGCATAGTACCTGGGGTGCAAGGCGGGTGGCCATCAGTCACACCCAGCCGGGCCAGCCCTGACCCTTCCCCATCCCCAGCTTACCCCTTTGTGTGGAAGGTGCCTCGGGAGTCCAGCAACAGGAAGAGTTCACCCTGGGTCTTGGGGCTGTTCCCCGTGAAGAGGTAATGCTCCAGGGGCACAGGGCGAGCGACGGTGCTGATCACGTAGATCTGGCGACGCTTCAGTCGTCTGAGTGGGAAGAAGACAGCAGGTCAGGGGTGGGAGTCTGGGAAGGAACAGTCCACACACCCGCCTTTCCCCTTCTGGTCTCACCCAGTCTTTTCTGGGAGCTGGATTAGAAGGCTGTCCCCATCATCGTATCTCTCAACATTCAAAGTGGTCTGGGCCCAAGTGGGCCTTGTTCCCCAGTCCCACCTCAACCTCCTCCCCACCCTCATGGCCTAACCTCTCTCCCCGCTGTGGCAATCTTTGCCCCCCCACCCCAACCCAAGAAGAACACAGCCCCCTTCACCCAAGCACCCTAGGAAGCACATCTCACCCAATCCAGTCAGCAAACTCAAGGGCGTTGGGTACAGTGGCACTCAGAAGGATGATGGAGACATGGTCAGGGAGCATGATGAGCACCTCCTCCCACACGACCCCACGCTGGGCACGGAAGGAAGACAAGTCATGGGCAGCTTAGACGGGGCTGCCCTCCTGCTCCTACGCTTCCATTGGAGGGCAAAGAAGGCAGCCAGGTTTCAGGATGTATGGAAGAGGGAGCTGCTGAACTAGTCCTACAGGAAAGAACTGCTGGTGTCTGGGGCCCCCCAGGCCTCCTGCTTCCTACCTCAGCATCGTTGATGTAGTGAACCTCATCAAAGATGACCCACTCCAGGTCCCGGATGACATCTGAGCCACTGTACAGCATGGAGCTGGGGAGAAGAGACCGCAGGCTAACTCCCCAGGGGCCCATCTCCACCAATCCAGCAAACATGCTCTCCAGAGCAGCCTCGCCTTTCTGGCCCAAAGTCCACCCGTGTTGAGTGCCCATCTCTCACCGAAGGATCTCTGTCGTCATGATGAGGCAGGAGGCCTCTGGGTGCAGCTGTACATCCCCAGTGAGCAGCCCCACATCCCCAAATGTATTTCGGAAGTCTCGGAACTTCTGGTTACTCAGAGCCTTGATAGGCGAAGTATAGACAGTGCTGGGAAGAGGGCATGAAGTCAGCCAGTCTCTCCATACAGACTGTGGTCAGCACCTCCTCTCCTACCCTGAGCCCTCACAGCAGCATGCTGCTGAGCACAGGTGCCCCTCTTTCTTCACCCAAACTGACCCCAGAAAAATCCTGTCCCACAACCCCTTCCTGAACTAAATGTATACAGATCATCCTTCTAAACTCTCTCCCCACACCTTCTCGTTTCTCTCTAGGCCCCTATCTCAGTTCCTCCCCCAAACCTCCCCCATCTAAAAGATGAAAAAAGATGTGGGAAGAGAGATTTAGAAAGGATGCAGGAGAAAGCAGGCATGGCTGATGAAGGGAAAGGCTATACCGCGTCATGTGCTTCTGGGCAAGGGCAATGGCATATTCAGCCACAACTGTCTTCCCTGCAGATGTGTGAGCCGCCACAAAGACTGAGTCATGCCGTTCCAAGTGCAGGATAGCTTGTTTCTGGAACACATCAGGCTCAAATGGCCACTGTGGGAGAGAGAATTAGATGAGCGCTAAAGAAGGGAGAGGGGCCTTCTTACCTCTGGCTCATGGGGTATGCAGGGCAATAGGGAGAAGGCCAGAGTGAGGCAAGGCTGGGACTGAGGTCCAAGACTGGCCTAGAAGGCATCTGGCCTCTAGTGAGGAGAGGAGCCAAGGCAGTGGGCTGGGAGGAGGTGGGGGAGCACGTGAGGACTGGACCACACTACCTGGAAGGCTGGCTGGGGAATGAGGCGGTAGAAATCACCGACAGGGGAAGTGACATCCACTGGAATGGCCCACTGCTCCTGAGCAAGAGGTTTGGGGGGCTCTGAGGGGGATACAACTGTGGACACTTCCTGGAAAAGTAAGGGATAGGGGTGATAAAGATACAGCCAGAAAGCTCTCCATTACCACTCCTCCCAAAAGACGCTCCAGTCTTCCCCTTTGATCCAGCCAACCCAGTACACCCTCCAGTGGCAAGGCCCCTTCTTTCCCATTTCAATGCACGGAAGTGCCCACCTTCAGCACCAGGTCTTCCAAGCTGCTTGCTCGGGCCAAGGGAGCACTGCAAGGAGAGGCTGAAACAGTGTCCCTTCTGGTACCTCCAGGCTGTCCCACTGCCTCCCTCTCATCGTCATCGCCCCCACCCAGATCCAGGGGCTCTAGCAGACGGCTGAGGCTGAGCAACCCAGGAGCTGGAGCTGGGTGATCTGAGGAGCAAGACAAAAAGGGAGACCCAGTCATGTCCATCTCTGTTCTATAGAAGGGCACCACTTCTCCTACACCCCCACTGAAAACTCACCTTTTGGTGCAAAGTCCACACCTTTCTTGAAGCCCGGTGGAATAGTAAGGAGATCTGGAGGACAGGGACAGAGTCAGAACCACTGCACACTACTGTATAAGTCACACAGTACATAAACCGAAAGAATTAACATTCGCAGCATAGGTGTTGTAGCTAGGACAGTTGTAATAATTTTCCAACAAATAACGGTAAAGGTTGTTATGGAAAAGGGACCTTTTCCTAATTTGCTCAAGGCATGGAAGGACTAGCAGCAGCCCAGTGATAGGCCTGGGCCCCTTGTCCCCAGGCCCTGCCTCCCAACGGTCCATCCTGGCACCACCTCACCTTTCTCAAAGTCTATCTCTTCCTCAGCTTCCTCCTGAGTGCTCATTTCTGTTATGGTAGGCTCATCCATTCCACCTGGGGAGAGGTTGGACACTTGAGGATTCACAAGGGATGATACGACGGGAACCCTTCCTTGGAGACTGAGGGCTCCCTCCCCTACAATCTCATTTCCACAAGAGTCACCTGGCCAGAAAGGGTACTGTGTTGGATTCCCCCACAGGGACTGGGAGATGGGCCCTGGTGGCCTGTGAAGAGATAAGGAGGTTGTGGCCGACAGGTCTGTATTCTCCAGCAGGACCTGAGGCAAGAGATCAGAGCCCCAGTGAGATTGAGCTTGCCTCTGACCTTCCTTTTCCCAACTGTGCTTCTCATGGAACCTGAGCTCTTACCTCCTTGTAGCCCAGTATCTGGCCTGTGGTTGGATGTCTTTGGGCTTGCAGGTCGGAGGGGACTGGGGCCCCCAGTACAGCAAATAGAGACCAGGGATCCATCTTCCTCTGCCATTTTCTAGAGAGAAGGAAGTAATTTTCAAGTCTTCTTTCTCCTCTGTCTCAGCTTCCTTCATGGACCCATCTCCCTAGTCCAGGCCCCTCCACACCCCTCACCGGGTTGAGTGCTCCAGACCATGCAGAGGCAGCCAGGCTGGAGACGACAGAAACAACTGCTCGGCTTCTTGCTGCAGATCTGGGGCACAGGGAGGGAGGCCATGGGGAAGCTGGAACAAGGGCAAGATGAGAAAAAGTGATGGGACTCGTGTTGAGATCTGGAATGGCAGATGTCCCAAACAGAGTAGGGCAATCAAAGTGAAGCAATGTTTTCCAAAGGCTGTAATGCTTTATAGCACAAATGACCTGCTACTGAATTACCAGGGGCGCTGGTTAATAATTCAGATTTCAGAATCTGGGACTGCATCTTAAGAAAGCTCCCCCACTAATAACAAGGCACACTGAAATTTGAGAATCACTAGCTTTAGGCCCACGGCAGGTCCACTAAGGTTGGAGTCTGTCCTGCATCAAGCCAGGCGGGGATGGCACGCGTCCAGAGAGAAAAGCAGGTCATGCTATTCTACTGAAAGGAAGGGGTTTTAAGCTCGATGCGGGTCAAAGGTTAGGGTCAAAAGTCGCTCACGGTGCTCTCTGGAGCCCCAGGCTCATTCAGCAGCGCCCAGCGCCCAGTGCATCCCAGCTCCACAGCCCGGAGAGGCAGGTCCAGGGGGCCTGGGGGAGGTAGCACTGCGGGAGAAAGATCAGAGGTCAGGGGTCAAGGGTAGATTCCAAGCTACTCCCGCGTTCCACCCCCTCCCCCTCACCGAGTCGCTCGGTCTCCATCATCTAGGAGCCCAGGCAGCTGCGCCGCAGCCGGAAGTGCAGCCGGGGCCTTGGGGTAAAGCCCGCCCCCGAAAGGGCGGAAGTAAAGGTGACTTCCGCCACACACCCCTCGGGGGGCGTGGACGACTGCTCGCGAGGGGCGGCGCTGAGCCCGGGAGGGAGGGCGGAAGTGGCCGCCCGCGGCCGCCGTGGGC